TATATTCACAACCTATGTATTGCCACAATACTATATTCAAGATATTCCTATTAAGGTCATGAACAAAACAAGAATGTAATCATTATTACCACTGACTGTTTATTTCCATTTATGTAATTAAGAAACAAAAACAACTTATGAAGTATAAATAACTGAAGATCTGGCAAAATATCTGCTCATAACATGATGATACTATCAAGTCAATAAAAAGCAGCAATCAAGTAATTATCAGTAAGTTTCACTGATCACCTAGGAGGTGTGATCAAAAACACAATGAATGTTTAAATACTTTTAAACTGTTACAGTAAAAGACATATTGACATTAATCTCCCTAGTAATATTGTCCCTCACTTTGCAAACCCCATTGTTCTTGACACTTTCTGAAGCACTTGCCACTTTGGGAAGTCCTCTTTCATCAGAATCTAGTTGTGCTGTCCTGGCTTCCAAGTGGTCTTAAATCGATTCCAAACATTTTAATTTCCACGGTCATTTTGATTTTAGGGAAGAGCCAGAGGTCATATGGTATCAGATCCAGGGAATAAGGCGAATGAGGACACACTCATGTTTTCATGAGCCTGCTTTTCTATTGAATAGCACTGAAATACATGACTCTCTGGTTTTGATCAGACATCTACCTGTAAGAATTTCCACAATTGCTTCAGAAAGTGGAAAGAATGATGAGCTGTGTGTGTGCCAAGGGAGTATTTTGAAGGGCATCAAAGAAAAATGTCTTTTACTGCATTAAAGTTTAATTTGAACAATCACCATATATTCTGATCACATAAGAAAGTCCAAGTTCTTAACACTGAATGGAATCATATTCATAGAACCAACACAGAGAAAACTTAAAACTTCACTTAAGCATGTCTTTTATAAAAGACAACTTTAATAAAAATGTATCATACTCTTAGACTGGATGGCTCTTAAAAGATATCAAGTGCTTGCCTGGCAAGCGCAAGGGCCTGAGTTCAATTCCTGGTTCCACAAAAAAGATTAAAAAAAAAAAAAATGAATAAATGAAAAAACAAGAAAAGATATCAAATTTCCCAATGTAATTTCAAGAGGAAATTATTACACATTAACTAAAAAAAATGACTAAAATTTTTATCTGAAGCATGCACTTAAATGAATGGCTAGGATATTTACTTTAAAAAGATGATTATTTTGGGAGTACATATATTAAAAAGATGACTACTGATTAGCCTGGAAACCATATTTAGTCAATATACTTTTCAAAGTTTTTTTTTTTTTTTTTTGTATTAGGGAAGGGTCTACAGGGTGTTCAGGGTGTCACTACTAGATCAGACTCGTAAGTCATCCTCCTGCTTACAGCCTCCCAAGAGCTGGGATTACAGGTGTGTGCCACCAGAGCCAGTCTCAACCCCAGGGGCGGGGCCCGCATAGCATGCCAGGGGATTGAACCCTGGGCCCTGCAGCTGTGCCTGCTTGCAGGCGCTTTAATCCACTGAGCTATTTGGCCCTTTTCAAAGATTAGAAACCATAAGAAGAAAATAATGTAAGAGCCTTTTACAGCAAGAAAAGTAAAGAAATGAGAGAGACTAGTTATTTTGGTGCTTTGATTATTTTGCTTCTGTATTTAAAATTCTGCATTTACAGGCTCACATTAGGTTATCAGTGTGTTCTGGTGGGCAGCAGCACATTTTTATCACCCAAGATGCCTAACATTTTTAAGTGATCTGATTTCACCATTTCACAGCAATTCTAATACTAGGATTTTATCAGTAGTACCTCTTCTATTCACTTTTTTCTTTATCTAAGACATTATGGTACTAAAACCTCCACAGTTCTGTCACAAGAATCTAAAAAATGTTTCTTTTGTGACCAGTAGCTTATTTTCTATCTGGCAAATGACCTACCATGTCCCAAGCTCTTGTTGAATTTTTCATGTACTGTGGAAAATGACTGAAGAGTTCCATCTTGGCCTATACATACACATAGAAATTCCTAATTAGACTTCATCAAAACAAGAATCCGAGTTAATCACAGATCTTATAAAATTAGGTTCTACAAAAAGTCCAACGTTACAGTTCAGTATCATTTCAGGAAATACCTCAATTTAAAAATGTGTAATACACCAAATGAAACCTGATCTTCTACCTCTCAATACTTAAATAATAATGATAGATGGAAGAAACTTACTTGCACTCAGGATTTGTTGTCCGTTTTGTCCATAATATCTGATACTGGTAAGAGGGGCACTATGTCCCATTCTGAATCTCAAAAGTCGGCCTTCACCGGTAGGCCCATCAAATATCCATATCTGCCAAGAAATAAAATGGCAACATTTTTCTACCATGTGCTATCTGATCTGCAGTTAGTTAAGCTACTACAGAAATCACTACTGGCATTGGGTAGTGCCTACCGGATCACTGACCCTGGACTGCAGGTGGGAAAAATAAATTGCAATTGTTTCTTACTTCATTGCAATCATTATCAGTACCTCTTCTCTATTTTTTTCTTTTTTTACATTCAAGACTGATGTGTTAAAGCAAACTTATAGATATCCAACCAACCCCAGGCCCTGTGAGTGTGGGGGAGAGCTTCTGCTCTGTCCTGTGCCCGCCGTGTAAGAGGCGTTTGCCCTTGTTATCCGGACCTCCCCCACCTGGAAAGACCCAGCACAGCCCACCATCTGAATAAGTACTTCTGCCGCACTCTTGGGAGTCCTGCAGACCCACCAAAACACAACACTGGTGAGTGTGTGGGAGAGCTTCTGGGCTCTCTCGCGCACACTCCTCATACCCATCCAGACCCAGCCCAGACCTAGAATACAGGCTTGAGGTAAAACTCTGCAGCTAAAGTCCATGCAGAGAGACTAGGGTCAAAACCACATAGCTAATCCAGGAACAGATCATCTTACCAGAGGTGTACAGCAGGCCCACCTCCAAGGGCAACAACAGTAAGGAGCTGGG